CGTAAACACGTGCGAGTTCAACGCATAAAATCGGCAGATGCACGAAAAGTTCGAGACCAGTCGTGAAAAAGAACAAATAAGTAGAAGCTGGTCTCATTCGGTTTTATTTTTTATTTTTATTCGGATAACATTTACAGGAAGCGTCTTTGTTTTTTTTTTATTTTGAAGGCATAAAAACCGGAACACACATAGCTCTTTTAATGCGAGGGACAATTTTGCAATTTACTGCGACGAGTTTAATGAGACGCGATACGCATAATTGAACGCGTGCGTACTCACGTAATCCTGACTGCAATTAGATAAGCAGATTCGTGTACTCGCCCCTCGTAATCGGCTGCGATTGATACGCTTCTTGGGTTCTCGACTCGCTGATTTCTCGTGTATCAGCTCGATGCGAAAGTCACCCCGTCGGCATACATACATATTTCACGACAATCATGCAGAAATCCGGTTCTTACGGTAATCGAATCGGATGTGACGGGAGTAGGTAAACCACTAGCATCGAGTTTTGCAAATGCACAAGTGCATCGATTACGTGTGCTCTAATAAATAATTTATGAAAGTTTGTCTTACGACAAAAATCCCAAGTTATATGATATTTCTGTATTATAATATTATACATATTTCTACTTTCACTTTTATATAATTCAATCAACACAATAATAAATCTATATATATATATATATATATATATATAATTTTGTTATACATATATTTAACATTCGAGCGAGGCAATTAATTTCGAAGACTGTGGAATACTATTTTCTCTCCCTGCTATTCATTAACGAAATCGGCCCGCGTTATAAATGTCGCCATAATTTATCAACCCTCTATTCCGACGTTAAAAACAAAGTCGGGGTAATATCGGTAACAGCTGGTCCATGCGTCTCCTCTCATCGTTAAGTCCGACGCGCCCTCGGAAACCTCCGCCGCGATGGACGATAGCCCGCCGCTTCTGTACGACCGGGCACGCACATGCGAGGCCTGCAGGTGCGCGCGTATACATAGGCAGATAACGACGTTCTTGAACGCAGATCGCGACGTAGATTTATCTGACGCGAAGACCGCTGACGCTGTTCCCTCGCGCCACCAGCTCCTCCCCTTTGATAATCGTGAAAGGGGGGCCTCCTTCTTCCTCCCTGTCTGAGTTCCGAATGTGGCGAGACACGGAGGTAAGGAGAACGAGGAAGAGAGGGACAGACGAAAAGCATGACCGTGGAGGAAGAGAGCGAAGAGTATTAAAAAGAGCAATTTTCCGATTAGAATTATGCACACTTATATATTTTAGTCAATTTTAACCTCCTGTTTTAGCATCATCAGTATTATTAATTTTATTAAATGTCATAATTCTGAAAATGTACAGAGAGAATTTTCTCTTGGAATTTACCCTGAAAATCATGGTAATCAGCAATGCGACAATATGGTATTGGAAGAATCTTATAAGAGTTTTTCTGATTAATATTTACCACAATAAAAACATTAATACGCACATAATAAATTTTACTATGTACATATTAATATTTTTTTTGTGCTAAATATTAATCAGAGAAACTCTTATAAGATTCTTTCAATACGATATTGTCGCACGATTATCATGATTTTCAGGGTAAATTTTAAGAGAAAATTCTCTCCATGTAGGAATCTTTTACTTCCATTTTGATATGTCCAAACATTTCTATCTTTTTCTTTATTCCTTGATTTTTATCGCAAACTGCGGAGACTGCACACATATAATTTTAGAGAAGGCAAATATAAAATTTTATCAATCTAGAAAAGCAGGGAAATTGAAGATATTTTTCTGAACTTAGTACTTTGTATCAGATTTTCCATACTCTTTACATCCTCGGGTACCACAGAGATTCATGTGTGTACACTTCAAGTGTTTGTACAGGCGGCAGGTAATCGAAGTCATGTGATACGCCACAATTTTCTTCAGGAAGAACGGATAGATTATGTGGCGAATAACCGGTTAAACCAATCTCTCGTCTAACTGTTTAAGGCGTTGATAGATCTGGTCAAATGCTGGTGCTGGCCTCTCTGACAACGCATCTGTCGTTAATTCATTTAACGAATGAATTAATAGCCGTATCCTCTAACTTCCGATTTAATAGCATCAGTAGAATTCCCTTAACATGCTTATAAATTACGTCACTTTGAAGAAAACGTTGCATTACGGAATCTTTATGTATATATCCGCGCTGTTTTATTAAAATCTCTTATATGATTATATATAAGCGCATCATGCTGTCTATGCACGCCAAGATCCCATTGGCATTAAAATACTTTATAATCGGTATATATCATTGGACATTTTATGTCATCATTCTTAATTCAATATCCTACAAATGTAAACGTTTAACGAAGTGATTATGTTCGCATCCGTTCCTCTGAACAACGCGTGTTTTTTAATTAAAAATAATTACTGTAGAAAGCAGCATCTCTTAATAGCATGGATTAATCGCAACTGTCATTCGCGTTGAAAATCAACATATATATCCCCGTGGACGTTACAGCGTGATTTCGAATCGAATTGCGGGGAACGCATCGACTTTTCACCATGTCATTAACCGTACGGAGAGAATTAATGACCCGTGTGGGGGAGGCAGAGAGGAATAAATTTCCCTTTACATGGCAAAATAATTCTCGCAAAACGCGCTCGTCGCTATTTTCCATAATTTAATGGCCGTAATTTACCGACAGCTGTGTATTCCGCGAGCGGTGCTCGTGCCTAGGCAAAATATTACGTACGCCCGATACTTGTTGGCCGCCGTAGCGATATAAATGCTCGCGGATGGACGGTCTTGATCGCGGTACGTATATAAGCAGGTAGATCAGTTAGCCGGTGAAAATTGCTCCGGTGCGATCCTAAAGGTAGTCATCGCATACGGGCAATCTCTCGCTCTCGCGCACGCATAGACAATTCCAAAAGCCGTGTACGCCGCATTATCATGCATAGAATGCCCCGCGAGATATAAGTATATCTTGCGAATAATGTCTTAATCATTGGAAGCATTATTCGATGTACGGAGATACGAAGGGCTATTGTCTCGATCGGAAATGTGGCTGTCCTTCATTAATACATTGAATAACACGTTGGATATATATATTATAATATGCTGCACTATAATATAGCTAATAGAATGGAATATGGTTATAGTACTAAATTGTAAGCTTGTTAAATTATTATTAAGCGCGCGCATTGTCTGGTCCCGTTAAACTTCACTTATTTTCTACGATGCAATAAATTATCAACACTTTTTGCAAATTTAAATGGCACTATATATGGAAAGCATTCAAAATTCGCGTAGGCTGGATGAGTTAACCAATAGTTCTATTATTCATCATTCCTTCAAATCATTATCGAACTGCTCTGTCTATAAATTGCCAACGATATTTCTTTATAAACACATGTAAAAGTGATAATATTGTTTGCCGGAAATAATCATGTCTACAATGCTTCACGAGTCAAATAATTCTCTTTGGAAACGTATTAGCTTCTGATCGAAAAATTTGTTTCGCACGCAAATGTTTTTTACATATTGTTAATATATTATATTTTAGTTATTTTTGTGATTGAAATTTCAAGCGTCAAGCAATCTTAAAATATAATTTCACCAATTATTTCCTATTCGCATATATGTATATTACGAAAACAAGTTGCAAAAGAATCGACAATAGGAATAAATGCCAAGTATAGCATTATCTATTTTCCCATTCGTCAGTCGAAAGCGATAATCACATAGCAGTGGCGTTCCAACCGTTAGAATGACGTTGTTTCACGCGGGTAACGATCCTCGAGATCTCATTTACAGTACAAATTAGTCGTAGGCCGGTCCTCCGTTCTTAATGGCCGGTCGGCACGCAAAGAAGTTAAGTTTAATGAAGACCGCGCGTTATCCGTGACGAACCATGCGCGCGCTCCGTTCGCAAGCGAGCGAGCAGTGTGCGAATATGCCTGTCTATATATGTATCCGTAATTTGTGCGTGTGTATTCTCGCGCGCGCGTATAGCGGCTGAATGCGACTTAAACGAAGATTTATGCCGCGACGCGTAAATATAAACAACAATATGCAATCCCCGGCGTATTGTCCCGCGGTGGTGGACGCGCGAGAGTCGACCAATGCGAACTAATAAGCTCCGCCGTCGTCGTCTCGCGTTCGCGCGTGTATATAGCTGGGAGACGCGACCCCGAGACTTCGCGAACTACTCGCGTCTCCCGAGACTAATCGACCGAGAGGGATGTAACGAGCGACCGGGCCCGATTCCATCCCTCATCCCTCTCTTTCTTTCTCCGCGAGAAGTTTTTTGCGTTTCGGCAGCGGAAATTTGTCTGTCGCTGCCTTGATACAACGGCTGTCACGAGGTGATCCATCCCGGACTACTTTTCGGGAGTAGACGAACTCGTTTCTCAGACTACTATACGTAAAGTAAAACCCGTCTTTCTTCGCGTGGCTTTTGACTACAGCCCCTTTCGGCTGGGAATTAAACAGAGGTAAACGATAGAAATATTGAGATATTTGGGATAATTATAAACACACCATATTACGTGCAGATTGGTTGAAATGAGATTTAATTAACGTTTATGTATTTAAATCTATTTATAACGATATGTGAAAGAAAGTCGAGTCGAGACAGTAATGCTCCGAAACGATATATAGTAAAGAATGAAACATATGTTTGCACATATTCTATAATAAACACAATTAACAAATAAATACAGAGTCTATATTTGAAAAGAAAGAGAATAGAATAAAGTATATAATGCGCGATTCCTCGATTTATTATTCATACTCAGAAACATAAATCACAAAATTTAATTCTGAGCAAGACTCGTTTGTCTCATATGTTGCCGGAATGCCGCTGTGAATAATATTTGAAATTATTCGTGAATAATAATAAGAATTATGTAATTAATGTTCACGGTGGATGGGTTCGGCGGTACTTGCAGAGTTCCGCTAACTTGGAGTTTCCGCTTTTACGAGGCAGCGTGTAATACTTACGCTTATGTCCTCCATGCTGCAATTTCCGGCATGCATTAATCCTTGATTGGCACAATCCATGGGCGAGAACGTAGATGAAAAAAAAAAAGAAAAAACGCACACTAAACACGTACTGTCACTCGCGCTCTGTGTTCGTCCTTAACGTATTCTTCTTCGAGTAAATCACACGTCCGCCTATCGACTCGACAAAAACAACAACACCGACTTCTTTTCTCCTCCACGGAGAAATCATCACTCGAACAAACCGAATCTCGCCGGGGACCACATCGCTTTGCTTCGATCCGCGTCGCTTCTCTAGAGCCTCTCATTGACTCGCCAATGACACTCGGCGAGAATCACACTACGTCGGTATAAATACAGCATGAGGAGGAAACACGCATACGCGACTCTCACCGCAAGATCGCCCTCAGGGTCGTAGCCACCGCGACACGGCGACGGCCGCGGCAGCCAGGGTGGTCTCCGAAGCGTGACATCCTCCGTATCGGTCGTCGAAGTCTCCGCTTCGGAGCGGAAGATGACAGAGTTCCAATCCGGAATATCACTCGCTTTTAAATCGAGTCGTGCACTTTAGTTAAATCTTTCCGTGACCTTAATCATCCACAGTTTAATCGACAATTTTGCGATTACCAGGCGGATCCAATCGCGAAATGCGCAATCATTTCGGAGTTTACTCCGCGAGAAGTCGCTGAAAAAGTCACCCCTTCCGGCGATGATCCTAGATCTTCGTTACTCTCGGGTTGCACGAAATTAACCGGTTAAGAAAAAAGACGGGGACCACACACAGCCATCGGGAGATGTTCGGGGACCGTCACGGATGCCGTCGGGGAACCGACGAGATGGGTGACCGCACCTCGAGAGACAGAGAGCCAAGCGCTCGCCGGCTCGGACTGAAACTCACTGAGTCGGCTCTTCTGGTGCCCGGCAGGTCTGCCCGCGCCGCATCGTGGTGAGGGATCGTGAGGCAGACAGGGAGAGGGAGGTAAACAGTGGGAGAGAGAGAGAGAAAGAGAAAGAGAAAGAGAGAAAGCGAAAACGATGTGGTAGAGCGAGACGAGGGCAAGGAAGTTCGGGCCCTACCATCGCGTTTCCCTTCCAATCGGCCCACCGGGTGCCCAGGGCTTCGACCATTATCTCTCTTAGACAGTTCTGGCTTGCGCGAGGGAAATACGCGGAGCAAGGGCATCGGAGGGATTGGAGGGCTTTATTATATTTACGAGGCGTTATCGAAGCGATCCAACAATATTGATTCCGCGCCGCGAAGCGATCGAGCATCTCAAAGAACGCCCAGCCACGGACCCCCGCTCGGCTACGTTTATACGCTACCGGAGGGCTTACGGCGCCCTTATTCTTTCCACCCGTGCGTTCTCTCGAGAGACTTTTTATTTCATTCACCTTTCGCTTTAATGCGCGCCGAATGCGATCGAATCGCCGCACGTTTTCCTCCGCGTGAATTACGCGGCGATCGTGGCCTCTCCGTTGCTGCTGTTGCTTCTGTTGTTCCGCTGTTGGAGGAATACATATTAAGATAGGTGGGATGCTTCATAAATTCGACTAGTAATCTCGATCAGGATGCAGACTACTTGGAGACGGATACAAGGATAATATATTAATTTCATTACGATTCTTGCTTACAATTACTTTGCATAAAAGATCGCGGAGAAAAGAAAGAAGAAAAATTTGCTTATCGATTTTTTTTACATTTATACGAATTTATACATTTAAAAATTGATTTTTTTCCATGGTAAAAATATGCGAGAAACATTTTAATTCATTACTAACACAATTGTTGTGCTGAGCTACATTGATGTATTTGTTAAAAAAAAAAAAAAAAAAAGTCATTTAAAATTTAATGTGCTGGAAGATTTTAAATATCTAGAACTTCTCATTTTCATTCTCGTAATCTTCTTTCTTTACTAAATTTCTTTACTCGAATTATTAACTACTTTAATTGACTTAAAGATTAATTATATATTATTATTTTATATTGTGTATGAATATATTATTTGTATAAAAAGTAATTATGCGTGAATGTTTAGCTCTATAATTTTATTTTTTTAAATATTGCTTCAAGAGAGATTCAATTTTTTATGACAATGCTTAAGTCCTCACATTTTACTTTGTGACCATGTAACACTGCGCATATATATTATCTCATTAAAAAGAAGAGTAAAGGAACCCATTTTTCGATTCGAACGAATCGCGTCGCGTCATCGTAAACATTACGAAACAATTTTGTCCATGTTTTCGCACAGATACGACCAAAAGGTGTTACATCTTATTTTTTACGATAACCATAAAAGGTTACTTCAGTTATTTATTTTTACATTACACATCTGACATGTGTGTGCACAGTTACTGTAATATATATTTTGTCAAATTTACATTTATAAAAGCTTTACAAAATAATGTAAAATTGTCATTGGAAAAAATAATTTAAAAAGCAACAATAGTTGCGGATAACACACACACATTATATAGAAATCTAATTTAATAAAATAACTTTTTGTAAAAAAAAAAAATATAAAAATGCGTAAAGAAGAAAATTCGAATTATGTAGTTAATATAAGTCACATCTTTTCTCCGCGAGATTATTTTTGCCTCAACTCGTCGATTTACATTCTTAATATAATCTTTACACATTAGTCTTCTCCCAAGTTGCTTGTAAAATTACATTTCGCGCTCCGACGACAACGAGGACAAATGATATCATCAGTATTGCCACTGCAACCGGAATAACGCATCAAGATCGCAAGAAGCGTAATGCTCGTCGGTGCTAATCTTCCAAAGGGGAACTGTCCTGATTACCTTTTACACGGCTATTCGCGTGGTTGTGGTTGGATCACGTCAGCGACAGAATCTTGTTGCGCTCACGAATGTGTAGGTGGGACGATCGCGTAACAGCTGATCGTTTTCGCTGATCGAAACGCTAACAACGGCAGTGCAGGAAGCTGCGGACGTCCCTACGGTGTCGTCCATTTGTATGAGCCTCGGAATTTCATCCGTATTCGATTTAAGCGCAAAGATAACGACGCAGCTTCTCTCTTCCTTTCTCTCGTCTTCTCATCTTTCCAGCGTATATTCGCGCAGCAAAGTGTTCGAATCATAGAACATATACACGCGCTTACGGCGAGGCTGATAGAAAACACAACGTAAGATGCGCATCAGGCAACAGCATGATCAGAGAGACCAAGCTCGCGCGTGAAGATTATAAGACATGTTTTAGGAAAATACGATCCATAAATTTCGATTGTACTGCGTGAGAGCGAAAGTAGCGGTTGTTAATCACGCATATCTACGTACATTCCTGCGATAATCATGCGTTTCTTATATGGTAGTATAGTGTTTACACAATATTGCACTTTGACAAACTTCAAAACAGTCGTAATATTCGGCAATACTCTTAAATAATATATGTTTGAAGTTAAGATTCAATTGTAAGTTTAAATTTTCTCTAACGTATTCCTGTTCGTTTAATCTTTCATATATCATATACAGAGTCTCGAACATCAGGTTTCCTTCGTTCTCTCTTTTCTCTTTTTTTACTCTCTATCGAGGAAGAAAGTACAAGAGTACCAGAGTAATGTAAAGCTCTGTTGGATCCTTCGAGTTGAATTCAAACATGCAGTTATAACATTCAGTGCGCGCATGAATGGAGTGTAATGCACCTAAAGTATGTCCTTCTTGTAGCGGAGTGTCGAGGCCAGCTCTCTCGTTTGATTTTACCAGATGCAATTTGTGCTTGACGCGGAAAAGAGAGGCTCGAAATCGTGCAAGCACCCTCCGCTTACGCCATTGATAGTTCAAGTATAGGAAATATAGATAGAACTAAAAGAAAATTCTCTTCTCTCTCTCTCTCTCGCCTTTTTCCATCCTCTCTAATCTTCGTGAAAGCGTATGATGTACCTACGGAAGAGGTAAGGGAGGAGACTTGATGAACTTGCCTCGTGAATCACCTCGCTTATAAAAATCGGCGCCCGATGCGTGAGAGAGATAACACCGGGGGAGGAGTAATAACAACAGGTTTGCCCGTGTACGCACGTACGAGCCCCTCTCGAGAGTGAGAGAAACGGCGAGAGCGACGCGACGCGACTCCAACACGCTGAATCGCGAGAGAATGTTGCGGAGATGCACGCTCCGCCGATGTCCGGAGCGCATCGCATACGTGTAATGCGTGCATTTATGTGTCCGCTATATATATATATACTCGTATATATGTGCAAAACGGTATATATACACATATACGCATACTCGAACACAATACACGACGTACTCAGACTTGGCTCACGCAACCTACTACGACCGCATTACTCGGTAATGTTCGAGTTCCGCAGGTTGTGCCGGCGTGATGCGAGGGTGGCATTTAATCTACCTTGTGTTACGTTTATTGCGTATATATGCACATGCGTGTATATGCACTACGCGCTTTCATGGCCGTGTGCATTGCGCGGCGCGAGACGGATGCGAGAAAAAAAATGAGAAGAATGCAAGAGAAAAAGAGGGATATTTATATGCATATATATTTATACTGTTTTGGAAAATATTCAGGGATGATTCATGAGAAAAACCAGCGACCGTTTTGTTCGCTTCGTTTCTTCCTCGCGAATATCACTGAGCAGGTGCAACAGTTCTGCATGCAACATGAAGTTAGTATGTTTTATTGTGTTGCATTTCCTCGTATTATAATTACGTTCAGTTGAGATAATTTTAATACAGATATTGCATCAAGGCTTATTCATAATTATTAAGTTGTATAGTTTATTATAATACAGATTATTATAATACAAATCAATACAATTAAATAAAAATTATCAAAGTATATTTTCAATTATAAAATAAATATTTTAATTTAATATGAATTACTATATAAAATGGTCGTGATATAATTGGTTATAATTTGTTATATTAAAAATGTTTTCATATTTCGTTAATTTTATTATCATTTTTTTGTAGCTTTTTATTTCTTCTTAATTTTGTCGTTTTGAGCTATATTTTATCTTCATTCTTTATTTCCTCTAAGATTATATTTCAACGTTACAAATTTCTTAGCGAACACGAAGCGCTATTACATGATTCATGTGCGGCGCGCTTGAACTCACTGAGCGCATAAATTAACCGTCGAAATTATTGGTTAGAAACGGCTGTTAATTAACATGCGAATCCCACACATGGCGTTTCATCGATTCATAATCAATTAGTTGAATGAATACCTCGGCATAGCTTAAGTTACGGTAATACAGCAATAGTATTCGATGCCAACGTGATGAACCGTAATCAATTATGCGATCGCGATTGTGAAACGTGTCTATTGTGCGACATCTCTTCATTTCGCAATGATCTCATTTCTCTTCTCGTAGCCGAGGAAATAACTCTCCCAGTTGAATGAGATAGAACAATTCGAGCAACTGATTTTCTCATTGCGAAAGATGAGTTACGACATTTCGTATAAATCAAGAGATTATAAAATCGACGAAGAAAGGATGCGCTTGTGACATCGATTGCATACTCTAAACAGCTATCGTATATTTTTCAATTAAAAGCATAAATAGTCTAATAAAACTTTTACAAACATTTTCTTGAAGATACTAAAATATATATTTAGTTCTTCTATATAAAGTATCGAAAATGTCAAATAAAAATATTTTTTATTAAATATATTCTTTTTTAAAACTTATTAACTACAATAATTTGTTAACAATCTAATATTATAATAAGGAAGTAAATCTTCCAGATTTTATTCAAATATTTTTTACATGATTGATAATAATTAAATATAATATTTCTGAAAATAAGTAGAAAAGAGTGTGAACACATTTCATGAGAGTAATTTGAAATTATCGTATAATTTCTTAGATGATCGAAATTTTTATAAGCACACTTTTCTC